TGCAACTTAGAATAAAAACTTGAGATAGTAGAACTGCTAGAGAGTCTGTCGATTAAGTTTTTGAATTACGTATGTAGTAATGTCTTGAAGGCTAATAAATATCTTGAGATGATCTAAGAATGTCTTGTAGAATCATTTTGAAGAACTAATTGGATAAAAAACTGTTTTAAATAATTTTGCACTGATTATAGATTATATGTTGCTAGTAAGAGGGAATGCTGTGTAATGGTCTGGTCTAGTCATTGCTTAATCATGTACTACGCCACTATCAGCATTAGCATATGACAACACAAAAGTATTTTTTCATTGATTTACTTAGTTAATTTAACAGTAAAAGTTTTCTAATAATTAACATAGGTAGATCACTTTTGGTAGATGTTTTAGGGAATACATTTATGTTAGAAATAAGAAGATTTGTAATTGTATCTGTTAAAAATAAGTAGTTTTTTTTTTAGAAAATTTACCATGCGTTTTATTTAAATTTGTGTTAGAATTTGGCAATGTTGTTAGAAATCTCTTTAAAATTTCATGATTTGTAGTAAAACCCCCGAATTCTAGATAATTAGACTAAAAAGGTTACAAATCAAGCAAAGCTTTGTTTTAAAACAGGAAATTTTACAAAATTATTGAATTCGTACTTTTTTGGCCGAGGATTGGTACACCATTATCTACTTATAATATAGCCTATCTATATATTTAATAGGCCAAAATTATTTTTGCGATAACTTTTTTGAAGCTGTCACGCATCCGATGACCATGTTAAGGGTGTAATTGATTAGGTCATTGCCTGTAGATTTGCGATCAAACTAAAACCTCTTTGAAATTTCATCGTGGCTCTGTCCCAGAGGTCTTAAAGGTTCCCATGTTATTCTTAATAAGAAAATGTTTTTTTATTTTATTTAAACAGATGAATACTTAGAAATTTACACTAGTATTTGAAACAGCTCGTTATGCTAAAATTTAAATTAATGGAGAGGTATCCTATAAGGAATTATTAGATTTGTTGAAAAGATAAAAAACTTACTCTGTTTTTTTTATATATTTTTTATTGCAAAACGCAGTTTTAAATGTTCAATGAATCTAAAAATCAATTAACAACACAACAGTTGACGCTACTACTATTCTTAATGAATGTGTAATAAAGATTAATTGTCTATTGTCTATTGTCTACAGTTACACTGTAAGATCTCTGTTTTACTGAAACCAAATAACAGGATTTAATGAATGGAGGATATCGCTATTGAAGGAACAATATTTTTCACCAGGCTTTATCTATTATAAGGGATTGTACCTTCATTCTTTTGTATGATTATTTATGATAGGTTCTCAAAAATAATGATCATATGTTATTAAAATTAGTTTTAAACACGTTTTCAAACTCCATAAAGAATATTTGCTTATATCAGAAGGTAGAATGGACAGGGAAAATTTCTAGGAAACACCATTGCTATGTTAACAAGGAATCTTGATATGTCGTCAGGCTTGATTAAGGAGTGCCTGTAGGTAAAGGAAAGGCTCTTGGAAGAATATGACGAAATATCGGATTGAGAGACAATAGTTATTTGTGCAACTAGTGAGAAAAGTGAGCAATTGACTCACTCGAGAAAAATCCTTACTCACGAGCCGTAGGCGAGTGAGGAATGGTTTCTCGAGTGAGGCAATTGTACTTTGAACTCGAGTTGCACATTATACTTTTCCTACAGTTACCATAAAACAAATAAATTGGTGAAGAAACATAACCTATTTTTACACAGAAGTGAACTTTTAATATAACATTTAATGTGAAGTGACAAATACAACAGTACAACAGCTGACCAGCTGATTTACAGCCAGTGCTGCCAACGTATTTCGCGCGCATACGACGTTGCCTGTATGTTACGCGCTCACTATTCGTGCCTTCACGTTGCAAATCTGGAGTGAGACAAAGTAATTAGAGTGAGACAATGTTAACATTGTCTCACTGATGAGCGAATTAGCCACTTTGCTTTCTCAAATCAGTGAGAGAACATGTACATTGTTAGGTAACTGTAGGAAAAATTATATTTTTAAAATACGTAATAGTCTTCTCACCTGAAATTAGGTCACACCTTTAAATTTGTCCAGATAGCTTAGCCTACAATGAGATAGTCCAGGGCTCTAACGTGTTTGCTAATTAATTATCGTTTTGAGTTTATTGGCTCAGAATAGTAATTACAACAATGCTAACAACGTTTAACTTTACTTTAAGAAGTGATCACAGCCACTCAAAAAGATAATGAAGCTAAATTTGGAATTTTGAATAAATTATCGTGAATGCGAATAAGCCTAATTAATCGGAAACTTAACCCAAACGTGATTCGTTTGTTATACTTGTTAATCACAAAAGTAGACGTGTTGGGAAAATTAGACTCGGTCGATCACCAGAGTCGATACGGGGTTCCTTCAGTCAAATTTACGTAGGACGTTCGGGTAATGGAGTAAGCCCTACAGATATTGCTCGGGTGGTTTAAATAACTTTCGTGGCAAGTAGGAGTCGAGAGTGTGAAAACGACGGGAAAAAGCGTGCAAGTCGCGCGCAGCGCGCAATCGCGTGCACAATTAAAATAAAACTTCTCTGCAACAAACAAAAAACTATATCGGTAGCACACAATAACTGAAGACTCCACCACCAAGGGAAAACTATCTCTAACTCACCGGGATGATTAGGATTTACTGATTGCTGGATTGCTCAAAACATTAACGTCTTCACGGTTCTGAGGCGGGCAGGCAACTGATCCTGTCTCCTGAGGTCTGCTCAGTGCTCCTCTGGCCCTTCATCACCATCGCCCCATGCGGCGGGGTTGCTAACTAGATTCCTCCCCTCTACGATGACGTAGGCCTGCTCCTTCGATGTCGTTGTCAACGTGGGCGTGGTTTACCCCGAAAGAAAATTAATAACCTCTAAATAAAACATTAAAACGGGTTTTTACCCCTTGACGGCTTTTGGGTCGTTACAAGAACATTTGTAGGAAATGTGAGAAAAATGAAAGGAGTCTTCGAATTATCAACAGGACAGGCCAGAGCCAATAGAAGCATGACTTGGAAGCATTTGATAACGCTGTACAAAGGGAGTTGAGCCAGCAATCATTTACGGTTGCGAATTCTAAGGTAAAAAGGCTAGGAAGGTAAGATTGAAAGGGAAACTTTTGAGTAAACACAGAAAAGTTTTGTTTAAAATAGGGAAATCAACACACAGTCTCGCATGATACGAATAGGGGGTTGACCAGAGCCATTCCAATTGACCTGCACATCAAAGAAAGGATATTTGAAGACAATGAGGCGGGTAGGACTACATGGGAAAGCAAGATTGCCAAAAGAGAGGAGACATTAGATGAGTCGCAAATGCGCCTGGAGCAGATTGAGGAATAAAGGTAAACGTTTAGATATATGTCAAACATCAGAAGGATACAGGAACAATATTGGCTGCTTGACCATTATTTAACGCAGTTTGTCACTGGACATGGAAAATGTCAAGATGAAATTGTGGAGATTTAACCTGTTGGAAGAAGAAGTATGCAAATGCAGAGAAATAGAGACCGCGAGTCACGTATATATGAAATGTCCACTTTAAGGGGCAAATAGGAGAGAACACAAAGAAATCCTGAAGAGGAAAGGTTTAAAGATGAGATAGTAAAACTTGATGAAAGACAATGAAACAATTGAGTTGTTTAGGAAAGTATCTAAGGAAATAGGAAGAACCAGGGGTGCATACAGGCTTTCAAATTGAAAGACAGGAACAAACAAAAACAAAGAAAGAAAAGGAATGAAAAATTCCACATGAAGGGGAGAGGAAAGTGTAGAGCGAATCCCTATCGCTCAGGGTGGTAGGGGGAAGGGAGTAACGCCATTAGGCCTTGAACTCATAATATCTCTGGACGAGGAGTACTACTTCTACATATACTACATCAGTGTACAACTATACTACTCAATATAACAGACAAAAAGATAACAATAGTGTATAATACAACGTTACGAGTCTCAACGTAATGAGATAGTTAGATAGGGTAATGAGTTAGATAGGGTGAGTAATGTTTTTCCTTCGTCTCACACAAATTTAGCATATTATTAAAATCGTCTAGAAATGTCTTTGTTTTGTTTAGTTTGTTAATATTTTAACTCTATTGACGACAAAAGAATCATTTACTCCATAAAATGCATAAATAAATACAAACTAGAGGGGACAGTTCCAGGGGGTACAATTCCGGTCCGTACATCTTCTTTAGTATAAAAGAAAGGGTACAATTTCAGGGTGGTGCAATCTCGGTCCCAGAAGAAATACTAGACTGTCGGGGGGTACAATTTAAATTCCAGGGCGGTACAGTTCCATCTCGTACACTGACCACATAAGCGTAGGTTTTAATTGGGGGGGGGGGGGGGGTAATTCCGGCATATACAGATTTTAGATTTCGATGGATTTAATCAAATCACTCGTGCATAAAAATATCAACGTTTTATAAAGGGGGTACAACTCCGGCCCATACACACCGTTTTGATTGAAAAAAATATACGTTATTGTGACGTCACTATCTTGAGGGGGGCAACTTTCCAGGAGGGTAGAATATTGTCACCTTGTGTAGGTTATAAACAACAAACCATAATTATGACACTTATTAACAAATGTAATTAAAATTATTAAGCCAGCTGTCACTACAAAGATGTAGAAAGGGAAACGACCATGAGAATGGGTTCTACATTAGTTAAAAGCTCAGTTCGGAAATAAAACCATGCAGTTTTTATTTTATAATTTTTTAACCAAATCGTCTTTGGATAAAGCTGTAGGTGTATATTTCATAAGCTGTCAAGCTTATTGTGTTCAGTTTCATTTGAGGTAATTTCGTATTAGTGTGTGATGTTACTCATTTAAGTAAGAAACAATAGTAAGTAATAACTATTTATTCTGATAAAGAATGCTGACAATGACCTAATATAACCTAATATTTTACTTTTTAAGATTCTGGCGTAATATATTCAACCTTTTCCAGGTTGGAAATGTAGAAGGACAGAACTACCTGAAGACCAAGAAGCTGGTGTCTTTGAGTGAGCAGAACGTTCTTGACTGCGTCTATTCCGATGACCCATGTGGTGGAGATCAGGTTGAAAAAGCTATAAGATACATCCACGAGAAGGGAATTGACACAGAGGCTTCCTATCCCTACGAGGCTGAACATAGGAAGGTAAGCGGACATAAGAGGTAGAGAGTAATAGGTGACAGTAATAGGATGATATATGAGGTGGATGGAGTAATAGTTTAAGGTCTTCTAGATAGTCTTTTGTTCTATCTTGACATCCTAGGACACTATTCCTTAGCTAGATACATGTTTATACTTTACTTAAGTCTAGTCTTACTTCGTGGCACTATAGCGTTGCTATAAGTTATTGTTGACTTGAAGGATTTTAACCCGAGACCCAAGGGACAGACGTCTAGAGCTCTACGAATAGACCAGCTCAACCCTTGTCACTAGCTTCTGGTGGAATGGTTTTTGTCTTTAGTTTTATTGGCTAATATGATAAACTATGTCTTCGAATATACATTTTTAAATCCATATCAATACTACATGGGTTTATTTAGAGTATGCATATATTGTATCACTTTGGCCTAAACAGATTTTGTTCGACCAAGGTATGTATATAAACGTGAAATGAGGCTAAAAAAACAACTGTTAGTTCATGCGTTGACCGATAATTTACGCCTTATTCTACAATATTTCTTACCAACTTACTAAAAAAAATACATCCAATGCAGCAAAAATGCTGGCCAAATGCTTCATTAGAATTTAAATTACATTAATTTAACGAGTACTTAGGTATGATGGCAGGCGGAAGAATAAAGGTGTTTTCCATAAAAAGATAAGAGTATATGATAAATTGAATAGATTTTCCGGTTGTGTTCTAATAATTTATTAGTAAACATGCAATCTACAATAGTTTCATTTTTCTTCTTAAGAATAAAATAAAAAAATTTAATTTTAAAGTTCTTATTAAGTTTTCTTCTTACCCTTCAAGTGCATAACAACACTTACTAGATTATTTCATTTTAAACCCTACAACATTGTTTTTGGATGAAATGTAGGTTTATTTCCAAATGACATCAAAATTGGTTTTCATTTTAAACTATCTATTAACAAGCAAACTATAACAGTTAAGCTTTACAAAGTGGTTTAGAGAGAAATGATGATTTTTTTCAGGGTCAAAAGTGAGAAAAGTCATGTTTTTCTACATAAAACCCCCATTAACCTCTGTTCCAATAGTCCGATTATGCTGGTTCGTGAATTCGTCCGAATAAACGTATCTTTACAACTTTAAACAAAATTTGACATAACAATCGCATCATTATTTCTTGAGTGGTCACGTTATTGGACACACACACACACACAACACACACACACGCACACACATACGGGGTTTTACAGAATACTCGCAAACACCTAATTGTGGCATCTTTCAACCTGCGGCCACCAGTGGATGAAGGAAGGTGGTAGAAACATGTCTGCATCGATATTTTTAATGAACACTCCATTTTAACATCTAACATTCCAGTTTTTAAATTGTGGCACCATGCCACAAATCGGTATATATCAACAGTGTGTGGACATGATGCCACTAATGCGTTGTAGTGCTTGAGCGGTGTGTGCGCGCCCCCTACTTCTCGCGTGCGCTGTTGCCAGTTCTCCGTTCTAGTTCCTTCATTCCGTTCTGTATTCATGTGGCTATGCCCTAGCCGCTGTAGCTCATTTCCCGCGCTCATGACGTCGTCTTTTATTAGTGTAAGGATTTTATATGAAGTTTTTTTCAAAGCTCCAATAATTTTTACAATTATTGGATTTAAAGTCAATGGACCAAATGAAATGTCGTGAGAATTACATAAAACTACATGCTATTTTGTTGATATTTTATCGTCACATTGTATGTATGGTTTACGAACTGAGATACTTGGAATAAAGGCCTTAATGTGCAGGGTAAATTATAAGTTTCATGGGAATATACAAGAAATCTATTCTATCTATATATTAATTACGTAAGCCGATTCTTTGCGTCAAAATTGTGGGCGACTGGGAAGTCGTAGAACGACGTGAGAGGGCTCAAATTAAAGGTCTTTATCCCGTGACGGCGGGAAAAATAGTGAAATTCCCAAAATCTTAAGACAAAATTAGATATAACGTACAATGTTCTCCATAAGAATAGCATTAGAAGGCATTTACTGCTGATTTTTGTTTACTTCAATCTAGCTGATCGTGATTTTATCATTAGCAAGTAAGCTTACATTTGGATTACTCATTTGCCAGTCAATTCTGCAATGTAATGTATACTAAATAAAACCAACTATATAAAGGGATAACGTTACCTTTAATAATCAAGACTTTTTAGTTATGTCAAAGTTGAAATAAATTGTTTTCAAGATTTAAGAAACGATTCAAGATTAAAAGAAGATCTTCTTTGTTTTTATTTCAAAACATATGTAAAAGATTTATTCCAATTTCTTTTTAAAATTTACTAACATTTATATTTGAGATTTATTGTAGTGTTTAATCAATATTTTGTATGAAGTGGAATAACCTCAACGGTTACTCTTAGAAAACAATTTGGGAATTGAGATAAAGTAGGTTCGTACAGGTATTTAAACGAACCAAAAATATTTATTTCGTGATTAGTTTCGATAACTGGGTAATGGAACCCTAACTAGCCGCAAAATAGTTAGTAATTAGACGTTGACTAGGCCCTTTTTTGGTAGAATATGTAAATCAATCGCACCTTTAGGAGGATTAACACCACATACTTACACTAGGCTAATAGTGGTTTTTTAATGTTGATCACAAACAAATTTAGGTCAAGTTCAGTCAATGGGATGCCTTTACTTAAGAATAATTTTGTTAAACCTTTACAAAATGAGCATAGACTTAGAAAATAATAACTGGGTAGGGTATCTCAACACACCATTTTTTACCTTTTCTTATTTGACGAAGTCAATTTCCAATACTGTATTTCAATCGGGGAAGCCTTGTTATCAGCATTAACCAAAAAACCAAAGCTACCTTAATAAACCAATATTTATTCATAAACATGTTTGCTGCCTTTAGCAGTTAAACCTCTGGAATCATTCAAATTCTTTATTGAACATAACGTTATCAACAAAAGCAAACAAAGACAAACAACAAACTGTTTTGTTTTTTTGCACAAAAGATATGTTGTAGTGGGATATCTAGGCCTATCCTGACATATAGATAATTTGATTCTGAGTTTGTTTAAATATTCCAACAATAATTCCTTTTCCGTAGCTTTTTAGGGACTATGTCCCTACAAGCCACTAGTTTACATTAAAATACGCAATAAGTATGACTCCGTTTTTTCTGTATGCATATAATTAATTCATGGTAATGTAAAAGTATGCATAACGAATTTTTCACCTCACTATGATGTTTTTAGCTGTTTTACATACATTTAGCTGGTTTATATTGGTGGCTGAAAGTTACGTTTTGCTGGCCATGCGTCTCCAGCTGTCATCGTCATATGGGGACCGAGCAGGGGTTTACATCCCTAGGGCCGCAAAATCACTTGTTCGCCTATTTACTTAAAACATTAATGTATATTAAATGCACAAGCTGTATCCATGGCATTGCAATAGACTTGTTTTTTGTCACAGCTGCCTAGACAACTATTTATTGTTATTTTTGATTTTGCTGATTCCTCAAAATATTTCACATAAATAAGAGGGACGTTATATTGCAAAACATACTTGGGTGAAAAATAGCGCTCGTACCACGAGCCAAAATGGGTTTGCAGCTCTCAATCGTTTCACGTTCTCGACTTCGTCCCGAACTTAAAACCCGATATCGAGTCGGCAAAACCTCACTGTAGGCCCTAGGTACGAAATATACTATTTTTTTACGGTGGATTTAGAGACCCAAAGATTCTCACCCCGTTGCGAAGCATGGGCAGATAGTTAGTTATAAGATTATAAAGTCTTTACTGTTTTGTCTGTACATTGCGTAGACTCATGAAGTGTTTTTGTTATTTCTACGTTGTATATAATAAGATAGCCGAAACGAGTCTTGTGTCAATATCTGTACGTTTGTTTGATTGTTACTGTCATTGTGCCTGTAACGCCAAAATTCCAATTCACGTGCCCTACCTTGGGAAAACTAGAGTACCGTTCATGATCCAAATAGTTTTGTAATTGTTTGAATAAATTTGCCAAGTTTTATCAAAATATATCCATAAACAAGCAAACTACAACATTTTACAATATTCTTTATATGAATAACAAGGGAATTTTAAATTTACAATTTTTGAATTTGTCCTGTTACAAATAACCGTACAAAAACACTTTGATATACTAAATTATTTGTTTTCTAAGCTATTTAAAAAGGTCTGGATATAAATTGGGAAATTTTGTATTTTTAAGGTAACGTTTTTCTCCATTTCATATATTAGTAACAATATACAGGGTGATTGAAAAGTCTGGGTACGGCTTAATATTTTAAAATATAATGCAGATTGAGCTACAATACTTAGTACAAAGTTACAGGGCATAAAATTCTATTTTAACACATACTCAGTGATCCAATAACTCTTCAGGGGGACGGCCCACAAGGAGTTGGAAGAAAATCTTAAATGGAAGCATAGGTCAATATGCACATCAAATTAAAGGTCTTTTTTAGTAGAATACAATGCCACAAACTGCACTTCAAAAGGTTGATCCTGCGCAAAATGACAGTTGTTCAAAGATTCATTTAATTTACATTGCTATTATACGCTTAATCCCCAGGGGGCACAGCCCTAGGAATCGGAAGAAAATTGTTAACGTGAGCATAGGTCGATATGCACATCAAATTAAAGGTCTTCACTAGTAGATTACGATGCCGTAAATTCACGATCAAAAGAGAGCCTGAGTAAAAAATGATAGTCGTTCAAAGATTCAAAATGGCGGATTCAAGAAATCTTTGAACATCTGCCATTTTGCGCAGGATCAACCTTTTGAAGTACAGTTTGCGGCATTGTATTCTACTAAAAAAGACCTTTAATTTGATGTGCATATTGACCTATGCTTCCATTTAAGATTTTCTTCCGACTCCTTGTGGGCCGTCCCCCTGAAGAGTTATTGGATCACTGAATATGTGTTAAAATAGAGTTTTATGCCCTGTAACTTTGTACCAAGTATTGTAGCTCAATCTGCATT